TATTCAAGTTCGTTGATTTCTGTTCAAAATTTATTCTGATAATAATCTAAAACGGTATGGGTATTTATAATTTGCTGATACCTCGAAAAGAAAATTCTCGTTCTGGTATCATACCCATACAATGAGGTCTACATTCATCGAGATAATGACAGCTCTGACATGGTTCTTGAAATGCCGTAGGAGTCTCCTGATGGTAAGTGCGATGGCTACATCCCTGGTGCTACTTTGACCAAACAGCGAGTTATCTTTGGAATGCCATGCTGCTAACTGTTAGCTTCGAGTCACGCTTCCGAGCTTCGAATACTCATGAAATGCTTTAACGCTTGATTGAAATTATTTATAGACCAAATATAGAATTAAGGTTATTCATTTATATGGCAGTACAAGTGATGCAAGTGTCACTTGACTGTCAGTACTTTATTGATTGTCATAACAAATTAGCTGTTTTGTTATTGTATTTATGAATTTTATGAATTTATATGAATATTTTGTCATTGCGATGCTGTAATGCATCCAATGTAGCAATGCTCATCATTGATAATTGATACGTGTGTGTGTAAATACACTCTTATATGTACGTATATATATATATATATATATATATATTATATATATATATATATATTATATATATATATGCATATATATATTTACATATATCACATATACGTATATATATATATATATATATATATATATATATATATATATATATATATATATATATATATATATATATATATATATATATATATATTATATAATATATACATACATACATATATTATATATATATATATATACATATATACATACATAATATATATATATATATATATATATATATATATAATGTACAATTATGTATGTGTGTGTTTGTGTGTGTGTATCTATGTATGTATACATACATGTGTCTATAAATATATATATATATATATATATTATATAATATATATATATATATATATCTTGTGTGTATTGTGTGTGTGTGTGTATTGTAT